CTCTAATAAAAAAATGAATTTTTTAAGTCGAATCGAGTTTTACTCAATCTTAATTATACCATCCTTTGCTATAAACTGAATTGGTATTTGATTACCAATTTAACCAGGGGGTTTTCAATAATGGATAGAAATTTAATAAATAAACAATATCCTATACAAAAAATAAAGCACAAAATATAAAAAATCATTCATTTAATAAAAAAAAAATTATTATTTTTATTATTTTGAAATAATACATATTTGTGTGAGAGATAATTGTAGGACTTGAAATTTGTTAGGTAACCTACATCTATTCATGAAATGTAATCAGAAATGAACAAGCCAACTACCAAATACAAAACAATTCCTTCTTAACCTTGTTTATTAACATCACTTCACAAAATAGTATACAGATCTTATTGTGTTTTTAATTAGTATTTTAAACTTTTTAACATATTCTAATCATTGCATTATTTACTAATCCATAATATATATTATTATAACAATTAATGTGACGGGTAATTTCAAACCAATCGCAAAATTTAGGATTTATAGTTTTTTCATTTTCAACTTAGTAAATTATAATTTTACCCTTACTGATGCATGAACTTCACTCAATTATGTATTTACATTTTATTTTAATAGTTACTAACGTCCTTAAAAAATAACTTATTACTTTTAAAATTTTATTTTAATTATTTAAAAATAATTAAATTTATGATTTATATATTAAAATATTATTAATGAGTTATATAAATATATTTTTGTTATAATTATATTTTTATTTTTTTATAGTTTAAATTGATATAATTTATATGTAATAATATTTTTCTTGAATTTGTTATAGTTTAAATGGATATATTTCATATATGTGTAAATATAATTTAAAATATTTTTAATTTACAACATAATGTCTGTAATGAATATTTTATCTTTTTAAATTTATTTTTTAACATCAATCCTAAATAATTAAATTTTAAACTATACTTTTGTATAACACTTTTAAAAGTTCTTTTCTAAAAATAATTTTAAAAGTTATTTTTCAAAAGTTATAGTAAACTAACCTTAAAGAGGATAACATTTACTAAAACCCTTGATTGTGATCGATGGATTCTAAATATATTAGTTCTAAGATGGGTAGATTAACATTTTCCAAGTAAAAATGAATAAGCATGAAGATGGGACTAAAGAGGTCCGAAACAGATACAAAGTACTTTTGAGTTTCGGCTCTTTAACTAAACCAACCCAATTATCTTATTTTGAGGTAACTATAGACCTTGGCCCGAGAGGAATTAGCTCTTTGGACCTCAAAATCTGTCCCTTCTTTCTTGTGATAAAAAAGAAAGTTTCATTCATTATTATCTTTAGAGATGTCAAAAACATTTTTTAGAAAAAAAGTAAATATTATTTTTAAAAAACGATTATGACTTTTATTTAAAAATTGATGATTTGAAATTGATTTGAATAAAATGGAAAATGAGTCGTCATCGACCTTTGGGTTATGTAACTTGAATACCTAAAAACGTATTTTAAAAATAATTTTAAGAAAAATTGTTTTTAAGACACAAAAGCTAGTATGCATTTATAAAAATTAGATTAAAACGGGTTCGGGAGTAGGTTATTCGTGGGGAAGGATAAGCACCCCCACAGTGCCCAAAATTGGTACTGTGCCGCTTACACTTTGTCGTAGTGGTGGAAATTAGGAATTGAATATAAAATTAAAATATGATCAATTTATTGAACTTTGATTAATTTGCTTCAAATTATTTAAAAGAAAATCATTTTACACGATAAGAAATCTTGAAATTCGCTATCCTCCTTCGGGAAAGCTATTTCAACTATTTCTCATTAGTAAAAGAATATTCCCTCATTGATTTGAAAACATGAATCAAATATAAATTAAAATCGATGTTTTACATTTGCATAAGATAAAACAAATTGTTATTTAAAATAGTTCACATTGCAACATATGAATAAATTAATTAGTAAAATATACTTGACTTATTTCAAGTTCCTATGCAGTTAAAATGTCGTACTGGATCGCACCACTTCGACCAAGTGGTACTTTCTACGCTCATTTTACGCATACGTGTCCTTGAAAATAAAAATCAAATATTTCATCCATGGATAAAATGCAATGGAAATAAATGTAATTTAAAAATACAAAATAAAACGTTTACATTAAATGGAACTAAAAACATTATTTACATAATACATATAACCACATAATATGTAAAATACATTTAAACATAAATGAATAAAATAAAAATAAGTAAACATTACAAACCAAAATGAAATCACTAAAATACAAGTATTTACAGGACTAAAATAAAATTAACAGGAATTTAAAGGGTTGAATAGTAAATACATAAAGTTAAAGGACCAAAATGGCAAAAATAAAAACTTAAAGGGATAAAATAGTAAAAATCAAAACTTAAGGGTCTAAATAGCAAAAACAGAAACTTAAAGGACAAAATAACAAATATAGAAACTTAAAGGACTAAAATAGCAAAAATAGAAATTTAAGGGATTAAAAAAGAAAAAAACAACAATTTAAAATACTAAACTGGCATTAACAGAAACTGGAAGGACTTAATAAACAAATATGAACAAATCAGAGCCCAATAATCAATTTAAAATAAACACAGGGACCAGGAATAAAAATAAACCATAAATATCATTAAGGACTAAAATAACATAAATAAAAAACATGGAGGATTAAATAATAATTAAACATATACATTCATACCAAATCAGTGACCAAAACAAAAGATGCACAAATCTGAGGACCAAAATCGAATATCAGCCAAAATACACAACATCTAACATTAGTGACTAAAATGAAACATTTATAAATACCATATCCAAAATAAAAAACTAATGAAAATGTAATAATTAATTAAATAAGGACTGAAATGAACTAATAAAGAAAGTAGACTGCTTAAGTACAAATAAAATAAAGCATAATGACCCAGGCCTAAATACGAACATTTCAGCATTTAAATATAAATATGGATGAAATTAAAACTTAAAGGAAACAGAAGATCGAATTAAAAATGAAATAACATTACATTGATGGCTAAAATGGAAACATTACAAAGGAGGATGGACTCAAAGAAGAATTTACCCACATGGTAAAATGCTCTCCTAGTCCCTCTATAAACGACGTCGTTTAGTGACACATATATATGACCAAAGTCGGTCCAAGCCGAACCCTCAACCTTCATTTGCTTTGCTTCTTCATTTGAAAGAGAGAGAGACAGAGAAAAAATCTCTCAAGGCTTCAACCGAAGTCCAGATTCTGGTAGAGCTCTATCGTGTCGGTTGCCACTGATCGGCGGCCGCCGCAGCTCATCGACGTCAGAGGGAGAGAAAAAGGTACGATTAAGAACACCCTTTGTCCCTGAGCATGGATCAAGGTGACCTCGGTTTTCAACGGCGTTCGACCGAGGTAAGCTCTCTCCTCTCTCTCTTATTCTTCTTTCTTTTTTCTTTTGGTTGTGGCTCGAATCTCGTATTTTTCTCAGATTTCTTCTCTCATTCCTCTCTTGTTTTTTCTCTGTTTCGTTCGAATGTTTTACACTTTTTCTCTATATTTTTCTCTCTACCCTTCACTGAATGCTTGATATCTTCTCTATCTTCCTTTTTTATGTTGCTTTATTGATTGATTGTTGATGGAAATGAGTGATAGATATACAACCCCCTATTCTCCTCGGGATATCCCATTTGATTTGTTTTTATATTTTAATGGGTTGCTTTGACATTGATATGATTTATGTAAATGTGGTTGTGACTTTAGGCGAAGATAGCAGAGTGACAGTGGCGGCGAGGAGCTCCGGTGGCAGTTCACGCGGCTGGGAAGTCCAAGGGCTGGCGCATACATCACACGTGCGCCATCGAACGGTCTAGATTCCTCGGCGGTGGCGGCTGGATGACATCTAGGGTTTCATCTTCTCATCCGAGCCATTAGATCAAAGACATATCCAACAGCTGTGATCATGGCGGCTGAGGCTGAAGTTAGGGTTCATAAACCCTAGTTGATCGATAATGGGTCGGGTCAGATCAGGGACACGAGTCTGACACTGGGTCGGATCCCATTGGGTTTGGGTTGAGTTGTAACAGGGATTGGGTTTGGCCTCCTAGTAGGCTTGTAATTTGGGCTGGGATGAGGGCCTGGGATTGGGTAGGTTGTTGGGTCAGCCTGCAAAATATGTTTAATAATAATAATAATAATTATAATAATAATAAATTAATAATAATATATAATTAATATTCTTTTCGAGACCCGGATAAAAACGGATGTCTACAAGATACTTGAGCAAGTTATGTGTTTTTTTTATGAATGATGATGAAGCTTTTATTGAATAATCCTACGGGAAAAGATAAAAACATAACATCCGAATTCTCATGGGCTAAACATGTGGAGTGGAGCCTTGAAAAGAAAATCCATGGATTCAGAAAACATGATTGTTGTGGAAATGTCGAATGGACAGCAACAAACCAAACATGACAATCATAGAAAGCATGACAACTTGCATGCTTTAAATGTTGCACGTCGGGAAGATGACTGCATTCATTCATTTCAGATTAAACATTTAATATGTGTATTATTCGTATTTTATCAGCGTGTTTAAATAATGCTATCATATTTCCCTATTAAATTCAAAATGATCAAACTACTCCTCCCACGCTATTAGTGAAGGTGGCATAAGTAATTACTATCACCGTCATCATATATGTGTTTTTTGCTAATCCTTGAAGCTCTCCAACAATGCCTTTTTAATGAGTATATGAAGAGAGAATCATTCAGAAGATTGTTTGATGTGTATGATTTTCTTCTCATTCGAAAGGCGATTTAGTGGATGAGAAATTATAACGATGTGAGAGAAACTTGGCTTTGAGAGTAAGCACGCTGATAGGTTAATAGAGATTAAAATGAGCAAATTATGGCAAGCAACAACCACTTTCAAAGCCCTTATAAAAGCCATTGTTACCCAAACCTTTCTAACTCCACCAAAGAGTGATAAAAAAGATGAATCCATTTGCTTCTTTCCTGCTTATATTATCTTCTCTTGCTTTAGTTTCCATGGCCAGGGCTCAAGACAGAGCTCCCCATGGCATTGCATACGAGAGCCCTATGTCCTTCACCCCTTCGGCATATGGCTTTTTCCATCCCAATACCGAAAACCCTTGCTCGGCTTCCAACTGCTCACCACCATTGCCCGTTGCGGCTCAAGTCGACGGTTCTAAACCACTTGCAGGCAAGGTATCGCCGACACCGGATAAATCGGGCCGTGGAATGGGAGCAGGTGGAGTTGCTGCCATTGTTTCCGGTTTTGCATTTGTGGTGCTTTTGGGAATTGGTGTTTACTATGTGGTGAACACACGTCGAGCTAGTGCTGATCGAGCAAACATTGTTCAACCTGATGCCTAGATCATTTGTCATTCAAACTCAGTGTACAATATAGGCCATGGCTTGCTAACGACGGAGTAGCAGTTTGATTTAAAGCTTTTCTTTTATCATTTTTTTCCTTCCATCTTTGTGGTTTTCTTCTTTTATTTCTGCATTATGATGTTTTTATGTTTTTATTCGCATGATATTGTCTCTCATAACTGTTTGAGATTCATAATCATTGGAAAAGAGACGCTAAGCTTACAAAACCAGGAAAACGTACAACAAGTAGTAGATTGATAGTATTTCTTTCAGAGCTGATTAAAGGATACATCACTGTCAGGCTGAAAATATAAGCTCTAGAGGAGTGACATATCTACTCGGTTCACAGTTAAAGCCTATGACCCATAGTGGTTGAAGCCAACTACTTTTTCATTCATTTGAAAACAAATGGGAATCACCCCATGTTTATATTTATCGTTAAAGATATTTGATTTTAAAATTTGATCCATACACTTCATCCTATAAAAATTGTGTTTTTTTTTTCTTATTAAAAAGATGTTGAATTTGATACACTGGTGCATATGTGCGGCTCATAACATTTTCTCTGAGCTACTGCAATTATTGAAAATGGTCCCTCTCTCGTGGCCTGCTGATCATCTCAACCCCATACCATCTCTGTAACTAGTTCAATTGTATCAATTACTGGACATCTTTCTCGTGCTCAACTCAAAACATAGGGAAAATTATAAAAAGATCTTAATATGAGCGCTTCAATGTTACATAGAACATGAACCAATTACATAATTTATTACAAATCTCATTGCAATAATTTGCGTGGTTTTATAATGTCCCAATCCCATTTTGCTTCCCCGGTCGAAACATTAGACAGTACTTTTCTCAAATGTTCAGTATATTCGGAACAGTACGGGAATATCTTCACAGTTTGGCTCCTCCTCTTTTGCACATGCATTTGAGAACTAACATTGTTGTTCTAAATGATTTTTTTTACAGCCAAGGTTCCTGATTATTTACTGTCCAAATTGCCGGTTTCAGACATTCTTGCTTTTGACCCAGAGTATGCAAATCATTCCCTATTTGAAACCCAGTGCATACATTGATCAAATAGTGCCAAAAAAAATAAAACCATGCTTATGTATGAAATCTAATTCATGACGGCTGTATTCACCAAAGAATTTTTCAGTGCAAAGTGATTTGTAGAGTCTTTTAAAAGATTTGAAAGCTTCTTTCTTATTTCAATCTGAATGTTTCAAACATTACTGTCAATGTTTCAAGCCTTCTATAATTCAACTTAGCATTAACATCCTCGGTCTCAAGTTCACAGGTTCAAAAGGGCTATAATATCCGCATATCGAGAAGGCTAAAGTTACAGCAACCTCAAAAACATAACAATGAATTAAACCTTATCTATATTCCTCTGGCAAACTATAACCGGTCAGGACTATTTTGTCAGCAGACATCTTTCCGGTCTTAGGCATGACATGCCAATGCATCGTTAAGTTGAATTTTTTGCCACGGAGATTGTTTCCCTAGATTATGAGAGATCGAAGAAAAGAGAATTATTTTCCATTGCAAGAAATCCCTAATTACTTTCTCCAAATCTGATGAACAGGAAGAAGCTACTTCATCTTTAAAAATCATACCTGATCAACAAACCGATACTTGTTTGAGGTGTGGATCCAAAATTTAGCATGCTCTTTAGCAGGTATTATAGCATCCCAAAGTGAGACCTGTCAAACACCACGTCAAAAGAATCAAATAGTAGTGAACATGTTTTCTGCTAGTCCCAATAAGCGAAAAAGTTTAAATGCTAATTGGTGGTGCTTTTAAATATGATGACCAGAGCAGAGGATAGAGAAGTATCATCGCTTACAAAAACATAAATAGACTCGGCCTAAAAAATTGTGATCTGAGTCGGTGATAACACAAACAGGTAATAATGAGGGGAATTTAACCTTACCTCATTCAAGGAATTCTTCAGGGTTTCATATTCGGCTGCTACAAAAATGAAAATCTGTGATGTGATATTTTAAGTCAGCTTCAAAATGATAAATGTTTACAACAAAGAACTGACTACACAAGCAAACCCTAATCAAATCATCACTCCATCTAGAATAGAATTATTGGATTTTTTTTTTGAGGTTTGGAAGGGAGGGGAGGCATTACTCAGAATGAAATAAAAAAATTGAAAAATCCATTTTGAAGAAAAAAAACAAACTACCTCATGCACTTACTATAATTGAAACTTGAAAGAAGCAAATGTCATAAAGTTCTATCAGAAGAAACCGTAAAGATCTAGGAATAGCAAACCTGTTTCGTGTTCCAAGTAAACAATGACTGCAAATCAGCTGATACATTCATCGTTAGGCTGACCTACATAAGTCCAAAGCATTTGATTAGAATTGAACAACAACTATCAGTAACTAAGTAATCAGAGATGTGGGATAAAAACCAAACTATGGCTGAAAATAAGAGAATAACAACTAAACTAACATATCACTGAGAAGGGGGTCCTGAGAGATAAGATATACATAATCATGTAGTTCCTCTATCAAGCACAAGTAAACCCATAATTGCAAACAACATTACCTCATCATGCCCTTGTGGCTGCTTCTGGAACCAATTAATGTTTGTAATCTACAATCACACCAAAAAAAAAAAAAAAGAAGAGACAAACACAGAACAATCCAAAAAGCAACTGAAAAAAAATCGCTAATCATCCACCTAAAAAAGTATCCAGATACGACTATATGAGTAAAGATCAACCTTGATTTCTGCAGACGGAGAGGGAGTATTGAAGTTGTCTGAGAGAGACGTGATGACGCACATTAGTGCCAGAATAGTAACCGCAAATGTCAGCAGACCATTTAATCTGTATCCAAAAGAATGCATCTTCTCCTCTTCCTTTACTCTGTTTTGATCCTACTGCTCCTCAGATTCAAGTTAGTTCCTCTGTTACAAGGAATAAGTATAATGAACCAAAAATGTAAAACAAAATCCAGCAAATTTTAGTCTAATATTACTAAACAATCTCGAAACACTTCATTGCAAGATTCCTATTAATCCTCCATAAATCTACATTATTGGGGGGGGGAATCTGCGAAAGTCAACACCAAAGTCAAAACCCAACATTGAGATCAGATCGACTAGGGTTTCATATTGTAAATTGGGTCGGGGGAAATGAGAGAATGAAGTCGCCCAAGGTCAATATAAAAAAAAACCAACAAAGAAACAGATATAAGAAAAAGAAGTAAAACAGTAAAATCTAGAAAAAAAAAATGAAAATGAGATCAAGGAGAGCGATACGGAACAAAAACAAGCCAGCAATCAGCGAAAATTAAAAGATATTTTGCAATAAGAACTGAAAATAAAATAAAAATGAGCATGAAAGTACCGATCTGAGCTGTGATTGAAAAGGAAGGAAATTGATCAAATAAAAGGATGGAGGAGGTACGCAAACTTTACCTAAAGTGAAGCGAAAGAAGAGTCCAAATTAAACCAGTTGGGGATGAATTGGGGGTTTCGAAGGTTTTTATTATACTTTGCTGATTTTTACTTGACCTGAAGTAACAGCACGGCATTTACGAGTTACGAATTTGGTGAAAATAAAACAAATAAGGTGAGTCAAAATAGAAATAATCATAATAGAAGTGGATTAATTGCACTAAACACCTGAAAACTATACAACAATTTTAAACTACTCCTAAACTTCAAATCATTCTAATTAAAACACCATTTCAATCTGATCCTTTCAGCTAATTTTAATGTTTTTTATTAGTCTATGATGCTTAAATGTTAAAGGTTAGGTTTAGAAGAACTTCAACCTTTTCTTCATAGTATGATGGGCTCTCAACAATTTTTCTTCATAAAATGTGATGAGACAACCAAATAACAAGCAACATGTGCATTTCCGATTCAAATCACCATTCCAATGAATTAAAACACAATTAGGGTAAACTAAACAATTTACCCTTCAATTATTAATATATTTTTATTTTTATCATCTAACTAGTGTTTTATTTAGTCACTGATGTCATAAAAATTGATCATTCTGGTCACCCGTCGCTAAATAATTGATGAAGTTCGTCACATATATTATCTCTAAGGGTAAGTTATAAGTTTAGTATCTAAACTACCTGTCTTGTTTTATTTTAGTACTTAAACTTTCATTTGTTTTAAAATCATACCTAATGTTTACTCGTCGTTAAAATCATAGCGGAACTATTGCAACATGGAAATTTTGTGTGTGTAAATTACATCATTCATCACTTAATTATCTTCTCACTCCTATTTTTGGTCACTAAAGTTTATTTCTTTAATTTAACTTTCAAATTACTCTTAAGTTAATCACTCTAACTTTCAAATTTAATTTTTTATTTTAATTATATATTATTAAAATAATAATAAAAATATCATGTCACAAAATTATTAATAAAATAAATTAGAGTGATTAAAACATGAGTAATTTGAAAGTTGAGGAGTTAATTTGAAATTTTTTAAACTTTAGTGACTAAAATAAGAGTGAAAACATAGTTAAGTGATGAATAATTTAATTTACACATGAAAATGTCATGTGCAACGATTCCTTTAAGTTTTTAAAGGCTGAGTACTAAAATGAAATAAAAAGTAAATGTTAGGTATGATTTTAAAATAAATGAAAATTTAGGTATTAAAATGAAACCAAACTGATAGTTTAGGTACTAAACATATAATTTACCTATTTTTAATTAGAACGATCATAATTTTAAATCTTTATATTTAAACATTCTAATAATTTGATTCTAATTCAATAAATTTTATATTTCATATCTGTAAATTCTATCAATTCTGTCCTTAAACATATTAATCAAAACCTTTTTAGCTTTTCATTTTATTTGCTTAGTTTGAAAAAAAAATCATATTTCTTTAGAAATAGACACCATAAAACATACTAATTGCTCGTCACCAATATAATACTCTCAACTTGATCTAATAATCGACGATTTTATATTTCACATTTATAAATTCTACCAATTTTCATCCTTAAACATATCATCCTCTCATCATTCCACCTAAATCAAGTAAAACTTTTTTAGCTTTTCATTTTATTAGCTTCGTTTGAGAAAAATCTTATTTCTTTTACAATAGACACCATATAAAAATACTAATTGCTCGTCCCCGGTATAATACTTTTAACTTGATCTATAACACCATAATTCGCTCCGACCCGAAGATCGTATGGTTAAAGCGTTACACAAACCACTAATGTAACATCCTCAATACTGGGTTAGTGACTAAATTGTAAAACTTCAGAAATTGGTGATTAAAGTAGAATAATTGAATAGTTCAAGGACCTATTGAGAAATATTTTATGAAGGATTGTTAGTAATTATTAAATGAATTAAAGGGCAAAATTGTCATTTGATCATTTATTGAATTAAATATTGGTATGGGTTATGTTATATACAAGTGGGAAATGAGGATTAAGGAAAAGTTTTCCAGAGAATTCTCTTTTCTTCATCTTCTTCAGCCGTGGACTTTAAGAGCAAAGGTGAGTTTCCTTGTTAGTTGATTATTTGCTGAATTTAAGTTTGGTTTATGATCTTTAGGTGATACATAAGCTTAAGGAAAGCATAAGTTAATTTAAGATCAAAGAATGAAGGAGTTAGGAGAGATTAAAGAGAATGAGTTTTTAAATCAAATATTAGAAAAGAATTGATAAGTAGAATTGGAAGCTGGAATTGACTTGTCATCAACCTATTAAGAGACATGAAGTGATAGAATTGAATTTAGAATATATTGAAAAATTGGAATGATTATTGAATTCCATATGGAAAAAGGAATTTTGAGGTTAAGGATGTATTGAATGAGTATAAATTGGTTTAAGTATGTGTACTTGAGTTAATAATATGAAAGGAAATGAAACATGAAGTATTGAAGCTAAAAAGAATGAATTTTCATGCTTAAACAAAGATTTCTGGGCAAGTGTATCGGTACACATTCAACAAGTACTGATACACTCTCGAACGAATGCAATAAGTGTATCGATACACATGCAGTGTATCAATACCCCTTAAGATGAAAACTTCGAATGTAATTTATGTACCGATACATAGGTAGTGTATCGATACACATGTTAAGGAATGTATCGATACACTATAGAGTGTACCGATATGTAACACCCATAACCCGTATAATTATACCTATATAGATTATAGATGTCACCCGAATTTTAAAAACCATTTTATCATTCCAAAATCTATTTAAACTTTATTTTCTTAAAATTATAAATGATATTATCAAATTTATCATATCATATGAATTATGAATTGTTATAACAAATTTAAGGCAAAAGATTTTTTTATGAATAGTGATGAACAGTATCGTGAACAGTGATAAACAATACTGTGAACAGTGTACCGATACACTGCTACAGTACATGAACAGTGTATCGATGCACCAAAATTTCGAATTAAAATTGTGCATCAATGCACTGCTACAGTAATTTCAGCATTATCTATAAAACACATAAAATTACCATTTTGTTTCCAAATTTGTTCAACAAAGCAAATAAAACATTAATAATTACATGCCACTAATAAAGTCAACATTACATCTTAGGATGTCTTACTGATATTAATATACACTCCTCGATGCTTGATATCAACTTGAACTCTTTATTCCACTACTGGCTTATTACCTACGCCTGAAAATCATCACACGCTAAGTATATACTTAGTGATGCAATTAAAACTATAAACAGTGCAACACAATTCATACATAAATTTTCATGTCAAAATCAAAACAACATAATATAATAAAAATCATTTTATCCACAACTATTGCCCACAATTCTCAATCTATGAGGAACACGGTATAGGAGTCAAATATTGCACAAAAGTGCTGAGGTCGAACATTGTTCACCTAATAATGCACCGTAGTGCTGAGGTCGGGCTTTACCCACCTGACTTGTATTATGTATCTTATTTGACACTATAGTACTACTTAATTCTGCAGCTGCTAGACTCTATGGCATGCCATTAATACCACTGAACCTCAATAACATATTTGGGCATATAGTCATCAATTAAATCATCCATGGAAACGTATAACCATGTATAAACATTAGGGTAATTCATACCCAAAATAACTTCCATATAAAATCTCATGTTGATAAAACAAGGTCAACTTATCGCAAGTCTTCCAGATGATGTATAAAACATTTATGTACACGTTGTATAAAACATCTATGTACTATATCATGCATGTATTGCACTCACCTTGACACTTTATAGAATCCACAATATGTATGCCTCACTACGATCCACAATAACTCTTTTATACTTGATTTGCTTCAATCACACTTAAATCACAATCTGTATAAAATTACAAATTCATAATAATACTTATGTTAGTATTGTACTAACATAAACACATCCCATAACAATTCCATAGTATACTTGAAACTCATTTTCTACCAAATCTTTAACACTTAATAATTCATTTTTAACAATGGCATCAACTTTTCCAATTACATAAAATGGTTCTTCACCATTTTATCACTTAGATTCTTAATACCAAAAATTTCAACGTAGTACATCAATTATATATCACTTACACAACAACCCATCAAATTTCAAAGTTGCCAAATTGATACCCAACTTTTTAAAAATTACAAAATAGTCCCCACATTTTCTAAAGCTTGTAGAATACTTCCTTCATCATTTCCAGTCCATATATAATTTTCCATACTCAAACAATCCATAGCCAAAACTTAAAGAACAAGTTTTAGAAAGATTAAACATGTTCTAATCATCATACATGCTTGAATATGAATCTACAACATGTAAATCATCAAGATTTATCATCAATTTCATTAATCCTATCATAAACATAAACCCTTAGATTTGGGATCTTTTAAATCCAACAAGATTAGAAAGAAATATTGGTTCCAAATGGTAGCGTTTTTCGCATAGATCACTTTTCTATTTCACGACATAACCCGAATTCCAAAGGAATCGACTGAAAAATGGAAAATAAAATATTTTTCCTTACCTTGGAAGAACTCACGTTATTGCTGCTGGAGAAGATGAACATTTAGGATGATATTTTATATTGATATCATACATATCATCTTTTAAAATAATATTTAATTCATTAACTTGAAAAATACCAATTTACCCTTAATAAAACTTCATAATCACCATTAAACCAAGATTCATATCTTTATCATCTTCAAAATCATATAAATATCAGCCTTTTCATCTTTCAATAGTCAAAGATGAACAAATTAGTTTTCCACTTTACCGTTTTGCCCTTGCAATTTCCAAAAATTTCAATTCAGTCACTTTAATCAAACAATCCAAATTAAACATGAAATTAAACCATTAAATATTATTTCCCAACATTTTAAAAATGTGAAAATAATATTTTTATTTACTTATTTTCGTGACCCATATGTAATTTTTTTAAATTACATTTTAATCCCTAAACTTTTCAAAGTTTATACTTTGGTTACCAAACTTTACTAAATTTATGATTTGGTCACTAAATAAATCCATTTATGAAATAAAATTCTTTTTGGG